TCCAACCAGTAGGAAAGCTTGCCCAGGTGCCAGGGAGAGACTTCACATCTGACTGACATATGGGCTCTGAATTTTCTCTTCTCACAGCTTGAGGTCATGAAGAGGGAGCATGTGGGGTGGAATGTTCGATTCGTATACACAGCCTAGGGGATTTGGTTTAAATCAAATCGTAATTACAACACCAGCCAGGAAAGAAAGGCATGATTTTTTTCCTGGACCTTTTTTCTTGCATATGACCTTAAATATATGTTGGGCACAATAAGAGTAAGTATCAGTTTTGTTTTTGGAAATTGTAAATTCTCATTTATAACAGTTCACTTATGTTGTAAAATTAACAGTAAGTTAGCTAAATCAGTAAGTTAGCTAAATCAGTAAGTTAAATAATAGTTTAATGATTCATATTTGTTGAATAAAGCATGTAACATTGCACTGGAAAAAACTAAATTTCCTTCTTTCCAGTTATTTTGTTGATAATTGTAGCATTCTGTGGAATGTTCCTAGAGGTTTCTTACCCTGGGTTTAAATGCCCCTCACCTTTGTGCTCCCCTAAATGTTCTGTTGCTAAGGAACACGAACACACACACACACACACACACACACACACACACACACACCCCTTTAAAGCAGCCCACATACTCACATTGGGCAAATGATTAATGTGAGATGCTGACTATTACCACAAAATAAAGGACAAGAAAAAGCCATGACCATGGATGTTAGAGGAAAATACCAGCTTCTGTTAATACCAGGAGGTTTCAAACTGGGCCTGGAACATTGTTGTCCATTGCTGGCTGCCCTGGGTGAGACACTGAAGTCAGATATCCTCCCCGCCTCCGGCTTCATTTAGCAACACAGAAGCATGCTTCTAAGAGCAGAAAACGAGTGTGAGTAATGAAGTTATCTAAATAATGGCTGGTGGGAGGAGATGACAGGACAAGGAACCCCCGAGCTGGGACGTTCACTCACAGTCCCTATCAGAGCAGATGAGGAAAGTCAAGCAAAGACCACCATGCCCACACCAGGGGGGAACCCAGAAAGACTCACCTGGAAAGTCCACTCTATTACCCACAACTCTAAGGAATGGCCCAATCGTCAAGGCTGGACACACCTATTCCATTTTATATGAGTCATGTGATCAGGTAGACAGTTTCATGGTGTAACTATAATATGTAAATCTACCTTTTAAGATGAAAAATTATCTCCTTAAATTGAGCCCGATTTGTAGGCTGAGGATTCCAACGCTGTGGCCATCCTACCACACACACACTTCCAACTGCTAAACAGAGTAGCCTGAGGTAGAAAGCTCTGGATATGGGAGACGCAGTTACTCAGCTCTGTAAGGTCCACTGTGAATACCTGTGTGGTATTCTAACCTGCTGCAGGAGACACTCTTGCCCATTGCCTCTAAGCTGCAACACCCAGATGGTCAGGCATACACAGGGGGTTAGCCTGTAGAAAGCCAGACACTGAGTCCTGGACTTGCATGCAGAGGCTGAGATGATTTACCTCCACATGACCCATGGTTACCTAGCTTCACACTCAAGCACAGATCACAGTGGGAGAGACTGAAAATGATTCATACAAAACCAGCCCTGCAATTTTGAAAGCAGAGAAACTGTCTCCTGAGTATGATGACATAATCCCATGTGTAATGCCTACATCTGTTTCAGCTTCTCCTGATATTCAAGTAGAAAATACATTTACTCACGGAGCTTGCATAGGATCAGGTAACTTTCTATGAGCTAGGGTACGAGAGAATAAAATTCCACATGTAAGCATGGTTATTAACCTAAATAACTAAGTGCATCCCTAGAAGTAAGCCCTTTTAACTGTCTTAAATGCTGAGGCAGAATCATGGCTTCTTAAAGCTAGTTAGAGCTGGAGAGTGTGGGCCTAAGAGAGGCTTTTCAGTATATCCTAAGACACCTTGCAAGTGCATGATGGAGCTCAGTCTGTAATGGCTGCAAGCATATTCTACCCTGTTATCTTGATGTATGCACACACACACACACACACCCCTCTGAATATATGTATATTAGAGGGTTCTTGGGATAGTACAGTCTAATAGCATTAGTTATGGAGAAATGTCCATATTAGGTTAATAGGGATGGAAAGATACCCTGTAAGAACTCCTCACACTGCAGCTTTAAAGAAAAAGTTACATGGTATGTGACACTGGGTTATTTTATGTGTCTGTGTTCATGACCATACACGTGTACATATGCAGGTGTGCAAGTATGTGCAGAGCCCAGAGGTTAATTTCAGATGTCTTTCTCTATTGCTTCTTACCTACATATGAAGACAGGGTCTCTCACTGAACAGAGTTTGCAGATTCAGCTATACCGGCTGGCTGGTAAGCTCACCTCCTGTCTCAGTCTCCTCAGTGCTAGATTCTAGGTGTCTGCCAATACACCCACATCTTCATGTGGGCACTAGAGATTGATTCAGGTCATTTTGCTTGCATGATGCATACTTTATTAACTGAGCCTTCTCCCAAGCCCTACTTTGGCTATTTTGACTTGGAATTTTACATAAATGAATAATACCAATAACTGATGATATTAGATCTGTCTGAATTTAATGTTCAATTACCTCTAAATATTCAAATATTTTACAAATGTAAATACCAAGGAGAAGTTGGGTAGAAACTTAAATATTTGTATTTTTATGGAAAGTCAGTTTTTCCTCAATAAATTTTCTAGGAGTTCTAAATCATTATTGACTAAAGAAAAGGATGTGTGTGTGTGTGTGTGTGTGTGTGTGTGTGTGTGTGTGTGTGTGTGTCTGTGTGTGTGTATATATATATATGTGTGTGTGTGTGTGTGTGTGTGTGTGTATCCTTTTCTCAAAAAATAATTAACATGTGGCACATTTATCACATAAAACTGTCTTGAAACTAAATGTTCTCCAAACAAATATAATATTTTTAATATCATTGCTTTCTATTCTGAATGGGGTGAGAGAAGATAAAATTTCAGTTTTATAATTTACTAGGTAAAATTATGTGAAATTGTACTTTCTCTAGGTCAAACACAATTGAAATCAGAAATTTACTATGGTCACTATTGTGTTCAATTTTGGGTTATTCTGAGACAGAGAGTGTGAAGTAAAAGAGTCGAAAGGCTGAAGAGAGAAGGCGCTCCCCCGGATCTGAGAGAACCCTCACTGTCAGCTTTAGCCCTCAGAACAGTGACATCAGTGCCACTCACATCTTACAGATGAGAACTGGGGTTCAGAGGAGAGGAAGTGACCTATGAACGGTCAGACAGGAGGAAGCGGAGCCGACGGGTCTCTTCGCCAGGGCTTCCGTGAGCTCTCAGCAGTCCTACCCACATCCACTTTCCTAAGGCCATCAACTCACACACGTGATTTGTCATCAACCAAGAGGATCCTCCAGCAATTGCCTTGTACTGACACCAGAGAGCTCCATGAATGAAGAGGTACTACTGCCTTTGGTGGCCTGGAAGAGTCATGAGTTCTCCTTTGCATTACGTATGTTTTTCTTTTTTAAGTTTTGTTCATGACTTTCGGGTACTATTTTAGGATGCTTCCCACAAATTCTGCTTCCTCTTGCTGCCTGTAAAGTGCCTCTGGACCTTAGGCATGTGGCTATCATCTTTTCTCTCCACCTCATTTAGCTTTTATCTATGCATTTGATACTTTTATATTTTCAATCCCTTATTAAAGGGTAGTTCTTTCTATCTGGGTTGATTTTAAAATTGTTACTTCCAATAATTTCACATTTTGGAGTTCTGTTCTCCTTTTGGCTTATTGCTTAAACTAACCCCGTTAAAAAAAGATACTCAAATTCATTTCTTTTCTCTTTCATTATGTGACCTGATAAATATTCAGAGACTGGCAGTGTGACTCTAGAAAGCAGTGTGCAAATCACATTCTGGCTCAATGGCTGAATGCATGCTTAGCATGTGTGAGCCCTGGGTCTAACCCTCAACATCAATTGATCAATAAAGAAATACAAGAATACAAAATGATGGTCAATGTTACAAAAGCATTTCAGGAGACATTTCTAAATGTATCGTGCTGCCACATTGAGAGTTCATGTAATTTTCAGTTACTAATTATAATACAGAATTAAATCTTTAGACACAAGAAAGAAAAGATATAATTTAGAGGAAATCACCCCAAGACTAAAAGCTAGTATGTTGTACTCGGTAGAAGTGTGTGCTAACTTATTGTTTATTCATGTGTTTACTAATCAGATACTATCTTGCATATTCTGTACTGCAGGGTCAATATGGAAGTATCTACAAAAGTAATATACAAAAATAAGTTTTACTGTTCCTTGGTTATACAAATTGATCCTCCTTTCTGAAGGTCAAATCCTATTTGTTGGAAGCCGAGGGAGAGGAGCAACTTCCATTAACATAAATAAAGATATAGGCAAGGGCTATAAGATGAACATTCAATTAGAACTCGAACACAGACACACTCACTCTTAAGGCTGCTGAAATATCAAGTCTTCCATTCTCCATTAAAAACAAGCCCTGATTATAAGCTTTCAAATGATTTAAAGATGTGAAAGCCTGTCTGCAGTTGAGCCCGGTTCAAAGCCAGAAAGAAATCATTTCTTCTTCTTCCAACTCCAAGTCTGTTTAGGAGAAGGACATCTGATAGAAGTGGCTGTGCCAGTCTAACCAACTCTAAATACAAAACGCTTCTAGCAACATTTGGATACATATAATTTGACAAAAAGTTTTGTAAACTTAAGCTTTGAAAAAATAGAAACTATAAGCTCCAACAAAAAGCTTAATATGTAATTGAAAGAAAATAATATTTTGTAGAAAAAAAGTTGCCCTTCCAAAAAGAGACAAAAATGACTAACTTTTATTTCCCAAGAGAATTATGCTACTTTTATACAACAAAATTACAGCCACCACAAATTGCTTTCAACAATTCCATCGCTTCTTCATTTGACCACTTGAAAATCAAGATTCTTTCAGATTATAAATATAACTTTTTATAACTCTGTTATTACGTACTGTGAATGGGGAAAGAGGGCCAATCTTGTGGCCATAGCGTCGAATGGCTTCTCTGATGTGGCAGGGCTGGATGGCATCGCTGTGAGCCTCAACACCACAGGCCGCAGTGCTCTGGGACAGAAAAACACATAAATTGTTACTAAATCAAAAACACACAACAGAACTACAGTGTATAAAATATGAAAATAAACCTTTATAAAATGGACCATTTTCCCCTTAGGATGCACATCACTGCTGCCATATACTACATCTAAAGAGAAAGTTCCATTAACAAATCAAAGATGACTTTTCCATGACCCCGTCCGAGCAGACCCACCAAATGCAGTTTTTATGCCTTCAATATTTCAGCTGAGCCTGCATGTCAGGTAGGCGCAGACAGCCACTTGTGTGCCGGCAAAAAGTGTCACGGGGGCCTTGTTGAAAGACCCACAGGAAGCTCTTTTCAAAAAAAAGTTTAAACATTTATTATTATAAATGTTTCTTGGGAGATTCTTGGGCTTATTTTGAAATGACTTGAGTCATGAATTTAAAATGAAAAAATGTAAAATGGTCATATATTTGTCATATTGGGAACTGTCACAGAAGACCATTTAATTTGATTCCTAATATTTTAGGTGTCCTTGGGATAAAGTAAAATAAAACCTTCCTATTTTATCTCACATATATGAAAGGCATGTTTGAAAACACAAAAGACACATGAAAGATTATGTGCAATGAGAGTGTGAGTACAAACTCAGGAAACTATATACATCCACATGTATGTATAATGCATGTACATATGTGTAGACATGTATGTGTGTGATACAATGAACTGTCCTAGTCAGGTCTGCAAGCTCAGCCTTGGGCCCAGATACCTTGGGTCCAGATTAGAGCCCACTGGTTACCAGCTCTGTAAATATCTCTGGGCCTCAGATATCTTTTTTTCCTGTAAATTAGGATAATAATTCTAAGTCTTCCCAGGCTGGCTGTGAAACTGAATGAATTGAAATAGATAAGGCACTCAGAGTTATAGTGACAAGCTATAATGCTATTACTGGGGTCACATTATTTAAGGGTCACCACGTACTCGATACAGTAAGTCATCTGAAAGCACAGTAGGCACCGGATATCAGCTCATCAACTGTACAGAATTAAGAGAAAGAACTATCCAGTCTATACGCTATTGTAATTGTGTTCTGGAACCCACTCACAGTCACCCAATTAGCGTCATTTGCTTTCCTGAGCCTACAATTACAGAAATGTTTCTGATGATTCTCACAAGTTTGACATCATGATTACTCATAGGGAATATGATTCTGTGTGTATAACCTCTGCAGATAACAGTTTGAGACAATCTTATCAAAATGAAAAGGCACAGCCTCTTTGACTCAGCAATTTTACCTTTAGGAATTTTCCTAATGACACATTTCATGATTACAAACTAAAATGTAGAAATATACACATGAATAGTTAATACACTACCATTTGGATTGACAACTAAATGCTTACTAGTAGGACTGGGCAAATAAATTATGATACAGTCATTCAAAGAAACAGAAAAGATGACATGCATTATAGGCCTTTCATATTCTTATAGTGTGATTCCTAAGACGCATGTGTGAAAAAAAACGACAAGGTATTCAATCACTCAGCACTGTGTTACTGCTTATTGAGAACAAAGCTTGAGCAGGGCAGTGGTGGTGCACTTCTTATACCTTTAATCCCAGCACTGGGGAAGCAGGAGGATCTCTGAGTTCCAGGCCAGCCTGAACTATAAAGCAAGGGCTACACAGAGAAACCCTGTCTCCAAACCAACCAAATGTTGTTTATCCATTTAAACATGGACTGTCTCTGTGAGGGTTCAGTGAATATAGTAACAGGGCTCTCACACAGGGCAAGTGGCTGGCTAAGACAGGGGTCAGAGGAAGACTTACTTTTCATTATGTTCTTCCCTGAACTTTGAAAACATACTTTTAGTCTATGTACAAATGAGTAGAACAATGAAAGTTCCCACCAAACAAGAACAGCTGCTAGTAATCTAAGCTGAACTTAAAGGAAGACTTAAAACATAAAACAAACGGGTTCTTGATTATTTGGTTATAACAAGAGTTGAAATAAGCCAAATCAGAATTCACAGAGGAGCTCTCGACCTCTCCTGTGCCCACATCACATGGATTAAGTTATCTTAACCTTCACTTTGGCAGTGATGTAAAGGTATAAATTGTTTCTTTGAGTGCTTTCTCAATTCACACTCCATTTCATTTCACCCTTGGAAGGAATACATGTGAATAAAATGCGGCCATCAGGTCCCCAGATGTAAGCACAGACTCTTCAGTGTGTCTGTCTTGCTCTGTGACTTACACACCTGCCTTCATAGTTGATGCCCATCAAGGAGGTAGCAGGATCCTCTCCACTTGTGGAAATGTATGTGAGTATTGAGCTGAATTTAGAATCTAAAGAGAAAATCTTCCAGTAGGAACTCAAGATGAAGTGAAGTAGACACCGAGGTCAGTATCCTGTATGTGCAAACTCAAGTCCTAAGTCCTGTGTACAATCCTCTACGGTACTCTCTAAATTCACCGTTTTCTCCTTGCACATTGTATTGAGTTTTCATGTCTTAACTCAAGGGGAAGACAGAACTTCTGCTAAGTTAGCCAATAGATTTGATCCTGTTTGTAGAAGGTTTTGCCCCAAATCCCTGAATTTTGCAATGGCAATCCCATAGGACCCGGGACACTACCTGGTCTGAATCTACCTGTCCTCTCCAGACTCCTACATTGAGATCTTAATGTCAAGGGCTTTAGGAGGTAATAGAGTTAGGAGGCTAGAGCCCTCCCTCTTACTCCCATGTGATTCTACACAAGAAACTATATGCAGACATTCACTAACCAGTGAATTTGCCAGCACCTTCACTTTGGACTCCCTAGTCTTTGGAATGTGAGAGACAAATTTCTTGTTTGTAAGCCACATAATTTATAGAATTTTACTGTAGCAGCCTGAATGGACTACGACAGAATAATCAATTAGAAATGACCTCTGCTCGTTAATTAAAAAAAAAAAAAGATTTGCTTATTTTTATTGTATGTGTATAGGTGTTTTGCTCATCTATATGTCTGTGCACCACAAGCACACAGTACCAGCAGAGACCAGAAGGGGCATCAGATCCCCTGGAACTGGAGTTAACCGAGGGCTGTTAGCTGCTATGTGTGGCTAAGGTTTGAGCCTGGTCCTCCCCAAGACCAGCCAGTGCTCTTACTCACTGAGCCATCTCCAGCCCTCCTGATTGCTATTTGTAAATATGGAGACAAGACACACTGGGTCATACATCGTTATAAAAAACAAAGTTAACTTTACCTTTATAAAAGTTAAACACATACATTTTTGTGAGAATTCCATTCAATTTTCCATTTTGCCAAATTCATACTCATCTGTCATTATTAGTAACTGCTGGCATTGACATCAATGGAGTTACCATGAGCACTTCTACATTTTCTTGGTTTGTCCACTGAGTTCAGTGAAAGAGAGGTTTGTAAGTTAAAAGTTTATATTCCTAGTAATTTTTTTTTCATCTCAACAAATACTTTATGTCACTATCCAGTTCCTCACCAAGGTGCTTAGAATCTGTTCAAGTTAAAGATAAAGTCCACATTTAGAAATATCAGTTTAGCTGGGAATCAATCTACCTCAAGACCCAGCAATACCACTCTTGGGCATATACCCAAAAGATGCTCAGTCATACCACAAGGACATTTTCTCAGCTATGTTCAGCATTATTCATAATAGCATGAACCTGGAAACAACCTAGATGCCCTTCAACTGAAAAATGGATAGAGAAAATGCGGTACATTTACACAATGGAGTACTACTTAGCAGAGAAAAACAATGACAGCATGAAATTTGCAGGCAAATGGATGGAACTAGAAAAAAAATCATCCTGAGTGAGGTAACCCAGACTCAGAAGAACAAACATGGTATGTACTCATTCATAAGTGGATAGTAGATATAAAGCAAGGGTTAACAAGGCTACAATCCACAGCCCCAGAGAAGCTAGGTAACAAGGAGGACCCTAAGAGGGACACGTGAATCACCCTGGGAAGGGAAAATAGATGAGATCTCCTGGGTAACCTCTGGGAAGGGGGTAAAGGGGAAGGGTTGGGGGATAGGAACATGAGGGATCAGGATGGCTGAATTGGGGGAGGGATGGAGAGAGAGCGAGAGCAATGAGAGAGATATCTTGATGGAGGGAGCCACTATGGGGTTAGGGAGAAACCTGGTGCTAGGCAAACTCCCAGGAACCCACAAGGTTGACCTCAGCTATGACTCCTGGCAATAATGGAGAGGGTCCCTGAACTGGCCTTCTCCTGTAATCAGACTGATGACTACCCTAACTGTCATCATAGAACCTTCATCCAATAACTGATGGAAGCAGATGCAGAGATCCACAGCTAAGCACTGGGCCGAACTCCAGGAGTCCAGTCGAAGAGAGGGAGGACGGATTACAGGAGCAAGGAGTGGGGGTTTAAAAGATCATGATGGGGAAAGCCACAGAGACAGCTGACCTGAGCTAGTGGAAACTCATGGACTCTGGACTGACAGCTGGGGAACATGCATGGGACAGAATTAGGCCCTCTGAATGTGGGTGACAGTTGTGTGGCTTGATCTGTTTGGGGGCTCCTGGAAGTGGGAATAGGACTTATCCCTGGTGCATGAACTGGCCTTTGTTGAAGCCCATTCCCTATGGTGGGATACCTTGCTCAGCCTTGATGCAGGAGAGAAGGGCTTGGACCTGCCTCAACTTGGTATGCCAGACTTTATTGCTTTCTAATATACAAAGCTTGGAGTGTATATTGGAGGCTTACTTATTTTATTTGTATTTTATCCACTGTTTTTACTGAAATGGCACTGTATGTTTTTAATCACATGAGATAATATAGTGAAACATACATTACGGAATGTTAAATGTAGCTTAAACAAATATGTTGCTTCACTATCATTATTATTATTATTATTTTTTGGTGACCATGTAACTTTCACATTTTACATTATTCAAGAATCTTTAACATAGTCAATTTGCTGTACAAACTGTTTCTTGAAATTTGTTCCTCTTATTTGATAGTTCCATATCCCTGAGAGAATACATTATTTTTCTGTGTAATAAATAGCACAATTATGCCACCATAACTGAAGTTTTCACTGACAAAATGACAATATACACACACAATTGACTATAGAAAGTTGTGTTTGGATATATGAAGAGAAATAATTAATGATCTTAAAATGGAAAATTTAGGAGAGATCAGATATATAGTGGAAGACCTGGACTGTGAAATACCCCAAATTTCATAGTTTTAATAAGATAAAGAAAGAAGTGTGTTTAAATATTCAAGTGAAAAAATTTCTAAAATGTATGAAGAATTATTTCACGTATGCACAATTATGAGGTTAATTACAGCTCATTTTCACATACTTTGGAAAGTATGCAGAGATGTGTGCAGCGCATGAAAACAATGATATACATACGTTGATTTAAAATTTAAAACAAGGGAAGTCAGAAAACAGTATAATGGCATAGTTTAAATATTGAAAGATAGAACTATCAACCTAGAACTCCGTATTGAAATATCTTTCAGGAATAAAACAGAAAGTTTGAGACAAATGGAAACTAAACAAACCATCACTAGCAATCTGGAGAAATAACAAAGCTGAGAAGTAACCCTACCTGGCTTTATGCTTTCCTGTAAAACTACAGTATTCAAGACAGGGAAATACCGACAAAACCTCACAGATGAGTCAGTGGAACAACTGGAAGCCCTGGGGAAAAAACCCATCTGGACTTATATAACTTACAGCCATCTGACTGTAACAAAGCTGCTATAGTTCTGCAGTGACTAGAAACCCAAGTGTTTTAGAAACTGAGTGTGTTGGGGGTGCAGAGATTGCCCAGTGGTTAGAGCACTGGATGCTCTTCTAAGGGACCCAGGTTGGATTCTCAGCACCCACACAGCAGCTCACAAGGTCTCTAATTTCAGTTCCTAGGGATCCGTCACCCTCTTCTGGCCTGTGGGGACACTGCATGCATAGGACACACATACATGCAGGCAAAACCCACATATGCATAATTAAAAAAAAAGAAACCCTGAATGTGGCCTAGGCTTACCAATATATTGTATAAATTAATTTGCCCATATTGATAGAACTACATGGAAAATCTAAAGCCATAAAGCCTACAGAAGGAAATGAGAATATCATCATGACCTGGAAACAGGAAAAAGATGAATTAAACTTCATCAGAAATTCACCTTCTGTTCATTAAAAGACACTATTAAGGGGATGGTGTAGTGGCACACACCTGTCATTTCAGCACTTAAAAGGCTGAGGCAGGAGGATTATGAAGCCAGGATGGGTTATACAGTGAAAGCCTATCTTTAAAAAGATACCATTAAGCCGATCGACAGGTAAGTCACAAACTGAGACAGTGTGTATCAAGTAGCACGCAGCCACAGACTTTTTCCTAGGATGTATAGAGAACTCTTACAGACCGTTACCACCTTCTCCCTTCACATATAATTCCCCACCAGTGAACATCCATTAGAAGGGTTCGAGTAAAGCCAGTGGTAACAGCAGACAGAGATGGGGCAGGGGAGAGAGGACCTGAAGGATGGGGAAAGGGATGACCGGATGTTTATAACAAGTGTTGGCACAGTAAAATGTCAACTGTATTTACAGACTGGCAAGTGCATGCCAATCAAGACTGTAGGTAAAGTGTTCACACTAGAATTCTCTAACTTCTCCTTGTATAAAAGAAAAATATCAGTATCTTGTTTATGCACACTGTTGGAACACAGTCCAAGAATGGAGGTGTATGAGTGGATTGCTGAGTGCTTGTAAGAAAACTCCAAGAAACGAAGACAAGAGTCTTATGACCTCTGTTTCTTTAAAAACATGGAATTGTTCTTAGATTGTGCTTTCATGCCCCTCCCAGGTGTAGTGGACAGGAGTGAGTTCACTTCAGATTATTCATTACAACTGGCTATTGTTTGTTTATATGCCTCTATGGAAAAACATGTTTTGCCGTGGGTGGTTTGTCCACCACATGTGGCTTGCCCTTGTGATTATATACTTTGCTCATGTGACTCTACTTAACTCTCAGATATAAACTGTCTGATGCATTGAATAAAGCTGGCTATTGCGTGAGACTAGTCCGCCTCATTTATTGGCTCCATCCCCGCCCCCAACCCCACCCCGTCCCACTGCCTGGAGAGTGGTAAACAGCACACAAAACCTGTTTCAAGACTGACTAGATGTCACTGACTGTGGGTACATACAAGCTGGCTGCTTTTTAAGCTTTGAGCGGTGAGAAACACATACACACACACACAAAAACCCCCAACCCCAAAATATTTCTCTCCACTTTCTATCAAAAAAGAAAGAAAGGAAGGAAAAAAAACCAAAACATAAAACCAAACAACAACAACAACGAAAACCACCAACCTTTTTCCTCTTTCTCTGCTTGCTTTTAGTCGAGTCTTGTCCTGCACTCCCATTCCCCAGGGATCCGGATGTGGCTCTCCCGGAATGCTGGGATCCAGAAGAGGGCGCTGTTGGTGTAGGAGGCGGTGTGTTCTCAGGAGAGTCTGGGCAGGACTTCAAACAGGACCCCTGCACAAAGACACTGGCTTTGAGATGAACTGACCAGATCTCCCGGCAATAGATTATCTTTACTGCCTTTTGTGTTTAATACCATTTATAGCTTAAAAATTGATTCTTATCTATTTCATAGAAATGGATGTCTTTTCCCTAAAGTTCTAGTCATGACAATTTTTAATCTAATCATTCAGACAAAAATCAAAATTCTACATCCACTGCTTCTAACAAAACCTGTTAACTTTGTTGGATACTATGGAATTTTTGCTTGTATTTTAAATTTACAAGTCTTCAAAGGACTCTCTAAACTCTCCTCAGACTGGATGGCTTTTAGACATTGTGTATGTCAGTGGCTACCCGCATTTCCCCACAGCTCAAAATCATCATTTTAGGATCACTGAGTCTTCCAGTCTGTTCTATATGCAGTGTCCTCTCTCCTTCCTTAATATTGCTCGTTTATTTATTTGGACTTCAAGCCTGTTATTTATTTCATCTCAAAAATTTGAAGAATTATATTCTCAGCATCCTCTTCTCCATGGTTAATTACTCTAACTTCTTAAAGCCAGTTATCACAGACATGCTTCTGAGTCCCTCCACAGCCCCCTTAACTCCTCTTCACACACGCTCACTGGGTGGATGCATCCTGGAGAATGATGTTAGGAAACAGAGGTTCTTGCACTCGCAGATAAATGGGGAGAGGGACAGGTGTGGCCTGGCCCTACAGATAGTGAAGAGGTCACCTAGGCTACTAACCACTTCCGTTTCTAGCCATCTGAGAAGAAAACCGGCTGTACATCTCTTCCTTTGAAGAGACAACATTTATGTTCAGCATTCCTGGTTTCCCGAGTGCTGAATGCAAGGACCTCTGTGCTCCCAACAGGATGGTGCTGAAATGCCAGGACAACACATTTTCTTGTCATATAACAATACTGGCTTCTAAGAAATTTACAGGTATTCAAGATATCTAAGTTATTTTCATAGATAGTTGTACCCACACTGACCTCATGGTTAGAAATCATACTAACCATGCACTCTGTGGATCAACCGTTCTCTATAATATAGTAAAAGAAATGATGTTAGATTTTGCAGACCCCTTGCTGAAATTCTGGTACCAGTCTCAACAGTATTTCCCTGATCACACTGTCTGGAGATACCATCAAACAAGAGACAATAAAGCTAGTTTTGGTTGAGTATTCTTTGCCCCAAATGCTTAGGGTAAGTTTTGTTTCAGATTTCGGGTTTTTAAAAAACTATTCTGGAATATCTATACAGCTCCAAGGGATTATGCCCACATGTGTGTAAACCATATGCTGAAAAAAGATCTAGAAAATGTAGCTATTACCATTGCTATTACATTTGCTAGTCTAGTGTCAGGAACCCAAGCTTAACCAGATTGGTTCCTTATGTGGCTAGTGTTTAAGGATGATGCCCCCTCAGATAAGATAAACCCAATCAGCCTGGTGACTGATTATAATACATCGGCACTGATGTCCGGATCTTTAAAAACATCTCCACATTCATCATCCTTCAGCCAAGACCCTGACCGTCTGATAACTTGCAGTAGTCTGGAACACTATAGGATCCCAGGCTTTAAATTCTTTTTTAAATGGAACTTCCTATTAGTTCTCTTTAATGAAGTTTTAGTTTCAACAGAGTTACCCACTTCCATCCCTTGTACAATTGTTCTTTTGCTGCCTCTGAGGTCCAGAATGTTCTTTCTCTCCAGTTTCCATACCTTCAACACTTTGCTGTCCACATGCATGCACACATGAGATTTAGTTTAATTCTCTAGGTGGTTCATTTGGAAGTCAGTATGATACACTAACTTGCCTTCTGTGCTTGTTTACGTATTTGCTTGTTGGTTTTACAAATCCTGCAGTCTCCCTGAACCCGGCACTATCATTCTCCAGATGCCTCTCTGGCCCATATTTGGCACACTCCTTCATGTTGGCTGCTGATTTGCAAGGCTGATGAGTGAGAATTCCGCCTTAGCATGTGTTTTATCAGATAATGAAGGGCAGGAAGGGAGACAGTCTTTATGAATGTCTACTTTGACTACCAGACACAGGGGAGAGTAGGTGGATGTCAGGCCAGGAAAAAGCTTCAAGCCGACACTGACAGTCTCTCAGGATGCTCTCTGAGACTCATGCTTCCACCTCCCAGAGAGCCCAGGAAACCCAGTACACATAGGACATTTTTTTGAACTGCTCTTCAGCTGGGAAAAGCGCCTGTGGTTACTGAGTAGCTGCCCAGGGCGGCTCGGCCACCCTGGAGAACCAAGGAAGAGGGATGGGGATGTTGGGGGTGTTTTCTGAGACTTGCAAGTAATCACTTGAATGCTAAGGGAAAACTAGGTTGTTATGTTCACAGTAAATTTCCTCAATTAGAAATGTTACAACAAATTTGTCTGATGTTAATGGAAAGCACACTATACACATACTCATAAAGCATCAAAGACATTGCAAAGGGCGCTCTTTGACATCATAATTGGGGTTTGAAACATAAAGAAAATAAAGAGTGTTTAATCAACTAAGTAAGCTTTAGGAACTTTTAAAGCATGGTGACTGATAATGATGTATGACCTTTTTAATGGGCATAAACATTTCAATCCCTACTTGGATTTCAAGCCAATCTGATTCTCCAAGGGCTATGAAGAAAAGTTGAGTTGACTTCTGGCTTGTTACTAAGATGCTACATGAGCAGATATCACGGTATATGTTCTACCCATTGTAGGGAAGCATATGTAACTTGGGGTCCATGGTGAGTTCACAGACTAATAGAATGCCTTCAGGTGCTCTCTGAACAACCCAAATTACCCTAAAAAATGTGTACCTGGAATGGGATTTATAGCTTTTCTCAAAAACTATACCATTCTCATCCACAGATAGTAACAGGAAGTAGATGTGTGTTATTAAGTGGGCTTTGCTGTGTTCAGGTTATGCATTCCAGCCAGCTTGATCTAAACTCACTTTATAAGTACAGAATCAGATGTGAACCTAATCTGTCTTCATTCCTCTCTATGGTTATTAGAGTGAACAATATGATACTGCTGTTTTTGTTATTAACAAACTCTAATACTGACAAATGTATTCAACATGTTCTGTTTCATTTCTGGTTTTCAGGCACATCGTGCTAGCAGAGAGTATTTTAGAAACTGAAGGGGTGCACTGTTATGCAAAAGGTCACACATGCGGAGGCTTCCCAGCTCCTACAGAAGAGGTCCTAGCAGCACAACCCAGGTTAGACAAGAGGTGCTGATATTCAAACTGAGGATAAATGGAGCCATGTCAATATAAATTACTGTTGACATAAATCAGTAAATGAAATGGAAGGCTATGAACAAATGTTAGGAATTATTACATGATAATAAGCCCCCCTCCAGCTCACTCCAGGGTCTCTTGATTTCTTGCATGCTAAGCAAAAATTGTACCATTGATCTATAGCCCAAACTCAACTCTCATCATTTGAGCTACAAAGAAATAGTTTTCTCCATCATCATGTAATTATATAGACCAGTTATTCACTTCACAAATCTCAAAGTGGGACAGGTTCTGCAACCAGCTGTCTGTCACGGAAGGGCTAGGAAAGACAAGTATTCTTTAAAAAGAATTCTTTTTTAATTTATTCAATTTAATTATTTAATTTAATTTATTCTTTAAAGAAAAACAGTATTCTTTAAAAAACAAAATGGGACCAAAGGGTGAAAAGTCATCACAACAAGTAGGTCCTCAGGGCTTGGCATAACGAATGGTCAATTAGTATTTGTGCAAATGGTCAGCGTATTAAGATTCTCTAAGCAAAGGCTACGCACTCCTTTACAATGTTTTCCAAAGGAGAACTAATGTAGACAGACAACAAACACACAGATGTGTTCCCCTCGGACGCTCTGCTACTCACCTCAGCAGAGCTGTGGTACTGAATGAAGGTTGCGGAGATGGCATGGTTGAAGGGATCCCCTGCCTTGGATACCATATCCTGCCTCACGAGAAGAGCCAGATCCACTAACTGAAGAACAGAGCAACATATATGAAGTGACACAGCTGGAAAGAACCATTAATGCCACAGAAAAGGCAACCAGCAACACATTCAGAACGTTATTGATATTAATACAGCCATCCATTTTGGACATGGCGCACAGCCTCTCACTGACTGGTGACTGAACCAATTCACAATCACAAATGACATGTTTGATTTTCTAACTTCATTTTGTTATCAACAAGGGAATATTTTAAATAGGCATTTCTGGACTGTCAGCTCTGGGACTCCAGGCTAGTCTAGGGGTTTCCATTCCCAAAACAGGCTAACAAGAGGCTGATCCTGTGGCCTGGACACCATACCCAGGGGACCACACCTGGAATGCCATGATCCTACACCCACATATCTCCAGAGATAAAACAGTCACAGACTTTGACAGTCACTTGTTTCAAAGATCAGAAACAAGCTCTTAAACAAGTCTGTTGAGGATGTAAGACTTCAACACTGAGAAAAATTGGGCATTCCATATATAGTTAGGATACAGTTGAAGGAACAGACATTTTAAGTACATTTTTTTTGTTAACTCATCAAGAATTTCATACATGCCAACAATGTATTTAGCTCATATTCACTCCCAGCTCTTCTAATTCCTCCCAGATCGACCCCCATCCTCCTCTTCTTTTTGGTTTTAATAACCCCAGCTCAATTTGTGCTGACTATATACTCCTAGGGGCAGGGCCACCCACTGGAGCATGTTAACCCAACTGGAGACACAACCTTAAAGAAAACTGGTTCTCCCTCCCTTAGAAGTCATCATTGTCAAAAGCTCCTCAGGTAGGGGTGGGGCATGTGAGCTGAAATGCAGACTAGAAAGTCTGTGCAGGTCTAGAAACAGTATTTTTTAAAAAACAAAATAACAGCAAAACAAAACCTTACAGCCCCGAGAACTAGTGATACAAAGAAACATAATCGAGCTAAATTCTAGAATATGATGTGTTTCAGAAGAAAAATTATGCTGTTCTTATTCCAGTAGCAGGTGGAATAAAGAACTGACCATGAACCCAGGGAGGAGAAATCAGCAGGAGTAGTTGGATTGACAGTTCAGACTCTTACCTGTGCTACTGTTTCATACGCTAAATATGCCAGAATTTCCATAGCTATAACATTGGGCTTTATCTCCATGCTGCCACAGTCCAGCCAATCTCGAAATTTGGAAGCTTTTTTGGCTATTAATTAAAACAAAAGTGAAAAGTTTTACTTTTTAATGTGCTTTAACCCTCACATGACTGTCAGAAATTGGAAATATTTCTCCTGAAACTGCATAGAAGAAATAACATTCATAGAAACAATGTTTGGGAAAGCTCTCTTAGCATCTACATTTTTTTAGTCTCAAGAAATCCAAGTTGGAAACCTTGGTTAAGAAGGAGTACCCTGGTTGCCAAAGTCCCTCAGGCACTTGGATCTCTCTAGGGTGGATGGCCTGGTACATCACACTTTCTCACCTCAGGTCTCTCGATGGTGGAGAACATGATACACCTTTTCTCCACTGTATTGCTCATAGTGCTCTACAGTATGTTACCATTGGCCAGAGTCTTAGTTATTATCACAGAAAAGCTGCTTTCTCCATGCAACTTTATTCTTGGGGAAATAAAATTCTGGAAGAAAAAGCTGTTATGAAGAAATACAGAGAAAGAAACTGCATTTCCAATCCTCAAAATGTGCCTACTACTAAAAGAGGCTCAAAATTGTGAATTGAAAATGAAACAAACCATTGCTGGCCTGAGATAACCTGTACTTATGTCTTTGCTGACTACAGAGATGTTAAAATTCTTAGGCCTGACTCTCCAAACCAAACTTACTGCAACCTGCCCTCACGGCCACAAAACTGAGCTGGTCTTGAGTCTAGTCCCTTGGATTCCTGTCTGCTCTCCTATCATTCCTCTTCATTCACAGCAATCCTGACCATCTGGGCCAAAGGCAGACTTCTCATATCATTTATGGAACTAACCATACATATTTCATATATGCATGGATTTCTCAGACCATAGTTCTTTGTTGTTGGCAGAGAAAATGTCTGAAGTTCCTGGATATCTAATTGTATCATGTAGATATGGAAACAAGCAGTACACAGACCTTTCATTAAATACCTATAATTGGCCTGGTGGTGTTGTATGCCTTTAATCCCAGCACTCGGGAGGCAGAGGCAGGAGGACCTCTGAGTTCGAGGCCAGTCTCGTCTACAGAGTGAATTTCAGGACAGCCAAGGCTACACAGAGAAACTTTGTCTTGAAAAACTAAAACCAAACAACAAAACAAAACAAAACCCCCAAACAAACAAATCCCAACATTGCAATTGTCCCAGTACTAAGCAGAGCTGAATTTAACACAGAGCCTTCCATAGACATTACTAATTTATCTAGTAATTTAGAGAGAAAAGGTGGGTAGTAAAAATTTATCAAATCTGTAAGGGAATCTTAAAAAAACCCCACTGATTATCCTTTTGACTAATCTGGCCTTCCTGGTCTGTAGAAGTCTCAACTCAAAGCATGCTGTTTGGCTCTAGTCAGAATCTCATGCATTCCACATACAGGAGTTTCCTTTAAATAAATCACAGAAGACATGAGGTCCTACTATGGAAGCACATGTCCAAAGCTGTCAAATGTGGTAGAGTTATGATAATCCCCTTAAAGCTGTCTCTCTACAGTAACCAGTCTTCACATACTCTGACAGGCAACATTCCATCTACTCAGCAAGCTGCAGTGACTCACAGAGCTTGTTCAACATCTGTGGAATACTGCTGAAGTCCAAGTTAAGAGGCAGCTATCCGGAAGATCGGTAACATGGACCTTATCCCCCTTTCCTCAGGAACACAGAAGCACACAAGACTGCTCTAAGCAATTGATTTTTAAGATAAGAAAAGGATCATTATTAGTTTTCAGCCACATCTCCACCCTGGGTGAGAGAATTAGCAGTGTCTTTGTAAGACTCAGAATATAAAAATCTAAGTACCCACTGTATTCCCAGAAAATAAAATACCTGGTGCTAACATACTTACCACATCTATTTCTATAACAAATTCAAAAATGATCAAATATGTATATTTAATAATATATATAAATATATTTAATCATACACACACATATCTTGTTTGTTTGGTTTTTTGAGACTTTGTGTGTGTGTGTGTGTGTGTGTGTGTGTGTGTGTGTGTGTGTGTGTGTGTGTAATAGCCTTGGCTGTCCTGGAACTAACTTTGTAGATCAGGCTGGCCTCGAATTCAGAGATCCTCTTGCCTCTGCCTCCTGAGTGCTAGGATAAAAGGCATGTGCTACCGGTGTCCAACAAAAATATATTTCTTTAGTGAAATTCTGGGGTCCAGTCTTTATAACATTTTAATAGCTGTCTGTGTGGGGTATGGGAGTCATGTGTACATGTGCCACAGTGTGTATGTGATCCCAGGGACTGCCATGAACAGAAACTTAAGAAGGCACATGGCAGGTCACGGTTCCCATGTCCTGGTAATTCATCAGAAGACTGCAAGGTGCTCAGTGCCCTCTGCGCAGGGCTGGCTTCTGGATGTGCTGGACGAGCTTTCTCAGCTTTGGTATTTCTGTCATAGAAGACAGGTTCTTCCACCCAGGGCTCATAATGAAGCTCCCATGGATACTATACGAGCAAATATTTTTAATGTCAAAATCCTTTCTCTCTACAGAAAGAAAATTATGCATAATATATTGCTTAATCTGTAATTTTATCAGAAGGAGAAATATTAAATTTCATCTGCTATAGTTTTTTGTGCTCAATACACTGACAGAAAAGAAATAACAAAATCTAATTCCCAATGAGAGATGTGTGACCAGACTAAGGCCATCAGTTCAGTGTGCGGCAGCACTCCACTTCTTGTGAAGTCAGTCTAAAATATGACTTAAAAAATAGTTCAACTGCACTAAATGCTACTTTATGAGCTGGAGATTTATGCTTATAAAATACTTGAATGCCGTATTTAAACCCAAAAATTACCATACAAAACCCTCTCATTTGCTGAAATTGCCATGATCTGAAGTGTCATTTACTTAATGCTTCACAGATGTCTGATGCCAAGTTGTTAGTCAGATTGGAAAATACATTTTGTTAGGAAAACACATCTTCCCAACCATGTTTTCTCATATTTTACTGATGTGCATGGGGCAGTGCTGCTTGAAATGTGTCATCTATTTGCACTTCATGATCTGAAATGCTGCTCTCATTTTCTTTTTCCAAATCAAGTACTGGTTATCGTGACCACACAATCGCTTTTCATTTACAGACATCATCATTTCTGTAACTTCTCAGAGGAGGGTCATGAGCAACTTGGTCATATTTGTAAATGGACTTTTCATCACACTTTCTCTCTGACCTTTCCTAAGAACCTTAGTCACTGCTGGGCTGTGGGGAGACAATCTAACCCACTGTTAGGGTCTTCAGCACTTTCGGGACTGCCGTCCAGTGACGGGAAGGCACCGACTTTCCTGCTGTCACTCCTGTGGCTAGAGCACTGACTCACAGCTCTGGTCAGCACTTACTGCATGTTCCAGCAGGAGGTTAAGGACAAAATGAAACACACTACTGAGATGTTACTTTGTGGTAACATGAGTGTGCATAAAGGGGAGGTTGGGGTTTATAATTAATATTGGGAGCTTCTAAATGTCATGACTATTAATGTTCACTATGGACAAGTATGGTCAGCAATACTGTACTTCAGTAAACATGACTAAGAAACAAGAAACCGAAGTAAGAATAGTAAGAAAAAAGTAGCTGTTCTGATTAGAGGTCGTATGAATAATTTCATGGCTGTCTGTGTATGCACATGCTCTCAAATCTCCTAACACGATTGATTGTACAACAAACAGTAGAACAGAGCACAATCTTCAGGCTCCCCCAGGGCAGATGCCGTTTCTGTAACAATTTTAAGGACGCATCATGTATTGAAGACACCGGTTTCTACAGAACAGAGAGCATGCATGTCACTGTCTGGGGTATCTGTAACACAGTTCCCCCCTCACACACCCTTGAGTGCAGTTAAATGTGTACTCACAGAAACTTAGCTGTCGGCTTTCACAGAATTCTGCATATTGAGCTGAATCCATAGTTCGAGTCTGTCTTTCTGCTCTCTAATGGACAAAAAAAATTAACAATAATAAATAATAATAACAAAAACAAGTTTTTAAAGAAAACAGACTCTTAACATTAATTCCCAGAGTAGAAACTTAGGCTTCATTTACCACGCTCCACACCTTAATCTAAGAAAGCAGTTATGGATGGTGACGGACATGTAAGAAAGCAGTTAAGACTGGACGGTGACAGACATGTACTATTCTGCACAACCATGACAAGCACTCAGAGCTGAACTGGGGCTGGAGCCGTGCCTCCATGGCAGAGAGTGTACTGCTCTTCCGGAGGACCTCCGTTTGGTTCCCAGCACACACATCTGGTGGCTCACAACCACCTGTAACTCCAGCTACCAAGGATCTGAGGCACTCTTCTGGTTTCCATTGGCACTGTATTCATGCACACGCACTCGCGTGTATACACACACACACACACACACACACACACACACACACACACACACAATTGAAAATAAAAGACATAGATTACGAAGTAAAAAATAGCAGTTGTAAGTGTCGTTCTTTTGGAAATGAAGCTTACAGTAATTCCTGCTCCTTTGTTATTGAAGCTAAAGCTCACGGACTTGATTCCTGAGCCAGTACACAGACGGTCTTCTGTTTATCCCGTCCTTTCAGAACAAAAGCAGGCTGTGCGGGGAGGGCAGAGCGGACATCAACCATTAGGAACTCTCCTCGTCCATCTGCTTTACAGTTGTGATGTGGCAACCCTAAACCAGGAGTCAAGGCCTCAACTCCACAGATCCCCTCAGAACACAGTGCCAGAGTTAACAAAGTCAATCTTCTCGATTACAAAGAAAATAAGGAGAAAGGTAAACACAACACAACTCCTTTAATCGGAGTCTCTGGATGATTCACAGCTTGGGCTGGCTGCATTCGTGGCTTTTTTGATTCAGTCCAGCAAATGTTTGCTCCTACACTGTCTCACAGAGGTAGCATAATTATACTTCACCCATGGTTTGGTGGCAAAGGCTACGACCGCTTCCGCTTCCTTGGGAAGGGAAGCAGGTTGGGACGAGGCAGCCTGGTGCTTCTTGGAAGGGACGTTTGACCAGTAAAGGGAAAAAATTCCCTGAGATTTACATTTTTTTCTGCAGTGGAAGGACTTTCTGCAAATGTTCTTTCTCATAGCTGTGGGTGCACTCAAGAATGATGTTTGTAATGGCCACATTACTTTTTTTTTTCTTGTCTGATTTGAGCTGAATAATCAGTACACAGGTTTGTTACCGGATGTACTGTTCAGCACAGAAAAGACAGAAGAGGTGGAGTGAGGAAAAAGTGACCACCTAGGGGTGGAGTTCCTTGAGAGCGTTGTTCTTCTTGACTCCTTCTTCCCCTCCTGACTTCCCGCCTCCTTTCTTCCTTTCCTTCCTTTCCCTCCAACTAAATAGCCTCACAAACATGTGAACACAAATCCAGACTTCTCTTGATTATCTACCTGCTTGGCTCAAGTGTCACTTCTGAGCATACACAAGCAAATATTATACACAGGTAGTATGCGAGCGCGTACCCACGCACGCACGCACGCGCGCGCGCGCACACACACACACGCCTACAGGTGATTTAGTTCCTCATATCTACCTATTTATTCGTGTATAGCCAACAGCTTTGGGTGTTGGTCCTCAGGCATCTTCCCTCTTTAGTTTTGGACAGCATCCCTGGGACCTTCCTCACACAGTCCAGGTTGGCTTGCCCAGGAGCTTCCAGGGTTTGCCTGTTGCTGTCTCCCACCCTTCCATCCTGCCCTTGCTGGAATTACTGGCACAGGCCACCAGGTCCAGCGTTGTACTTGATTTGAACGAAGGTCCTCAGGCTTGGGTGGCAGTAATCTACCAAATGAGCCATCCCCCTAGCCACTGGCCTCTTGTTTTAATGTGGCTGATATGACTCAATAACTATTTGCCGACGGAAAATCAAAAGCAAACTAGGGAGTGTTTAGGTTGGTTCTGAACAAGGCCAGTGGGTTACTGATGTGTTCATTTAAGAAATCCCTGCCTGGTGGCGCACACCTTTAATCCCAGCACTGGGGAGGCAGAGGAAGGAGGATCTCTGTGAGTTCGAGGCCAGCCTGGTGAACAGAGTGAGTTCCAGGACAGCCAGGGCTGTTACACAGAGAAACCCTGTCTCAAAAAACAGAATCTACACACTGATAACCCTGCATCATTCTTATGTATGTATGTAGATTGTGCATGTGTGTTTGTATGATTATAGTGAGAACCTCTCAGGAGTGTGTGTGTGTGTGTGTGTGTGTGTGTGTGTGTGTGTGTGCCATGCGATTATAATGAGAACCTCTAGGTCTGAATATCTGATCCTAGAAAAATACCTGACACATAGTAAATAAGCAATGACCCAATGCCACCATTTTACTCCACAGGGCAGGTAATATAGCCAGCTCTCAGTAGCTATGACTCCCACACTATCTGCCTGCTACCCTGAAAGCAGCCCCCACATTCCCCCAACACAGGACTAGACGGAAAGACTTAGACAAAGACACAGCTGTCTTAAAGGAACTTCTAATACCTTTCTTCTACTGAGTTGGGCAATCAAGATCTGGCTTCGGTATACATACTAAGATAGTTGGTGTGTCTGCAATTAGGAGTTTTAGCCTTTTAAAGTGAGGAGAACTTGTCCTGAGAGATTAAGGTTGCCAGGGTGGCCAGCTTTAATTAAATGAAGTGTGTGGCAGTTGGGAGACTTTGTCCTGCAAGGCCTATCATCTGAGGCCACTTTAAAGAGACTCACGACACGTGAAGGGCTGGCTTATGTTTATGACAGCTAGCTCCTCTGCTTTCCAACGCCCTGGACACCCTCGCCAGTGCCTCTTCCTTTTGTGCTGTTCCTCTCAGTTCCTTTCAGTTCCTTTAGCACAGAAGCAGCACCCTTTGATCTGAGCAGCATCAGGAAGCTGGCCCTAGGGCACTCACAGGAAGCCATTTACCCTGTGCCTAGCACACAGCAAACATTCAGTGCAGGGTGGCTGATTGCAGTAAAGATTTATTGGCATGGTGTGTTAGAGCTACTGGCAGCTTAAAGTGCATCTTTTTCAAGACTCTTCATTTTAAAGATAAGGAAATGGAGGTTAGAAGAGATGCCATTTGCCCGAAGCCTGTGTATTTATATTACAAAAGCTTATTCTAGACTATACTACATTTTTTACTCCAATGTCCTTGTGGGATGATCTATGACCAGGAGTTTTAAGAATTATGACCAAATTGTATGAATTCTAGTCAGAGTAAGAAGATTTGAAAATGAAGTTTTACTTAAAAGAATCAAGAGACTGTCTAGATATTAAATACTCACGGCTCCTGTCTTCCGTGGTGCCCTAATTCCACTCCCCGCTGCTTCCCTTCGGATGCCAGTACATTCTACCGTGAACACTGATGGGCCTTTCTAACCTGGGTACTGAATACCGCCTGGGAAAGAACTCCCCAGCTTTGTACAATGACGTGGTTTAATGACAATGTCTTCTCTACACAGAAAACACAACCTCTGAGATAAAAAGTGAAGTCAAGAGAGACACAGCTGGAGGTGAAGTTAGGCTCCTAAGAGCCGATTCAGGCGCACAGGTTTCCCAGAAAGGGACCTTTGTGCACTGTGAGAAAGAACCACGGCAGGAAGTGTGCTCCCTTCATGTTGTGGCTTCTTCTGAACAAAACGTTAAACTGCAAGCTTAATTTGCAAAGTGTCTCTCTAAAAGGGAGTTCGCAAGTTTAACTGATCATTCAATATGATCATGAAAGTGGAATTTAAAAAAAGCCTGTTTTGCCTGGGTATGCTCACACATGCCTGTGATCCCAGTGCTTGTGAGGCTGAGGCAGGAGGATCACAAATTTGAGTAGTGTAAGATCCTCTCTCAAAAAACTAAGGAAGCAACTACCCAGTCCTTACCAAAGCAAAGCAAAGCAAACCTTCATGTTTTTAGAATATTAGAAGCACAAACCCCCCGAAGCGAGCATCGATGAACAATGGTCGCTGGCTTAGATTACCATTTCTCCACATGGGCATGCTCATGTTACACAATGCTCTTTTTAGCTCAGATAGCCACATGAGCACAAGGCCATCTGCAGATGACTCAAGCTCTGTATCCTCAAGGCCAGTTCCACATACGGCCCAATTTCCTTGGGTATCAAACAACATTCAGATCTCCAACATTCAGAAAAGTGTACAACATACTTTTCCTCCAATTAAAGCTTGTGGTATTATTATACAACAAAATAAGAGCCTATTTGAAAAGCACTGCTTTTCAAGTTACTATTGCTAGAGTCTTCTAAGCATCTGATTTTACACACACACACACACACACACACACACACACACACACACACACACACACACACACAGATATAATGTATGTATATGGTAATAGGGAATGGTTATGTTAGTAGCCACCCATTTCACTACCAAGAAGTTACAGCCCATCCAGTTTATCGTATGATAAACTGAAGGCAGATTCCCATGCCAGATGGGGTCATTTTCTGGATCCTACCTAAGTGAAAAGAGGAAAGCAAATATCTGCATCCAAGCGGTACTATGTAGAATTTTTTCCCCCAGTATCTTGAACATCACAGACTCTCAGTACTTCAGTGGCAGGTTGCCTTTGAAAAGCACCTTTAGCAGCAACAGTCACTGCTTGCCACAGCCTACAGCATCTGGGGGACTTATGTGGCACACAGCTCTATTCATGTTCTCCTTGTGCTTTCACTGAAGCATGCTCAAAGGTTACAGACGCTATGTGCTGTCATACCTCCTGGAAGCTTCTCAACACACATGACATCTATTTTTCTTGAATAACTCAGAATCACAGAACATAACTTTCAAACCCAAATAAAAGTTTATCTGTTGTTGTTTCTTTCTCAAAAACATACATTTTAAAAAACTCTTATTTTGATTACTCTTAGAACCTTCACAACTGAAAGTGAAGCCCCTTCTGAATGGAAAAGTATGATGTTCATGGTAATCCCCCTTACACTGGATCAGAACCAGAT